CGACCTTGCTGTTCAAGCTGACCTTGTGGTCCAGTGTTTATCCTACAGCACCACACCAGGACCAGGGGCTGGGATACACAAAAGTAAAACCAAAATCACACATACATTCTTTGTACTCAACAAGCTCAACAGATCAGTAGAGATATGTGTATAAATAAGCAAGTATAGCACATAAGACAATGATTGTAACAGATATAGATGCAGGGAACTAATAGAGCAAAGGAGAAAAATTACCTAATGGTACCTGGGGAAGAGCTGAGATGTCTGAAACGTGGCAGACAAGGGCTTGGTCAAGAAGAGCTCGGGGGAGGTGTTCTAAGCATGAAAAAAAGGAAAGGGAACTATCGACATTTAAGAGGGATTAGAATGAAAGAACGGAGCCCGGGTAAGACTGTAGAATAAGCATGGGACTGCTAACTGCAGTATCAGTAATCCGAAGCCACCAGCCACTCCACTGCAAAACGATGAGGCCGTCTGCCCCTGCACAGATGTACAGTCTCGGAAACCCTGTACAGGGTTGGTTGCCATCAGTCAGAAACAACTTGATGGCCGGGGTTTGGTCTTGGATTAAAATGTAAAGGAGACCAGAATGGGCTAATAACCAAAAAATCAGTGGTTTAAAACCACCAACCACTCTGTGGGCTAAAGAGTAGGATGATGAACGTTCCCATAAAGATTTAGTTTCCGAAAGCCTGTAAAGGGTGGCTATGAGTAGGAATCAGCTTGATGGTACTGGATTTTGTCTTGTTTGTTTGAATGTAAAGTTCAAAAACAGGAGTGGATGGAGATGGGGAGGGAAGGAAGGCTTAGTAAGCCTGGTAGGTGCTGTGGTGGTGGTGGATGTACCATCGAGTCGGTTCAAGCTCATAGAGACCTTGTGTAGGGTCTCCAAGGAGGGGCTGGTGAGTTTCAACTGCCTACCATATGGTTAGCAGTCCAGTGCATATACTACAGCGCCACCCCAGGACCACTGTAGGTATTACATGAGTGTTGATTTTAGAATAAGCTGGAATTGATTTGATGGCAACAGATTTAGATGGAGACCCACGATAGTTTGATTTGGGAGTGATATGATGACATATCAATGTTAGAACTATGTGGGGGCTTCAAAAAGATCATTGAAGAAATTCCGTTATCTCTAAGTTCCATTTTCCATGAACTTTTTGAAGCCCCCTCATATCTTCTTGAATTCCATGTTAGGATGGACTAAAGCATGTTTTAGCTTGGTGGATTCTGAAAGTAGACCATGAAACAAGGGTTTGGGTGAAGGCAGTTTATTTGGGAGGAGACCCAGGGAAGCAATAGTGAGACCACAAGGGAAGACAGGGAAGAGGACAGTCAGTCTAGAGGTGTTGGCTGTTGTGGGCACTGCGTGTCACTCTCCCCTTACTAGAATGTAGGCTCCGTGATATACCGAGAAACTTTATATTATTCATGCATGTATCACAAATCCATACAAGAGTTTCTGGGATGTAAATATGCGTTGAATGAAGGGATGTAATACACAAGCTTATTTCCTTGTTGGTGGCGACAGCAAAGTTAGTTGATTAATCATTCTTTTCAAGGTGAAGACTTCTAGCTCAAATTTTCAGAAGAATACACAGATTCACATTTCTCCAAGATTTACTGGCTCTGCATGTACACCATGCTGGTAACAGTGTATCCTAAGAAAGTGACTGGTAATGCTCTTCTAACAAGTTAGAAAAATATTTCGTTTGAACTATGTGAATTTGCCCCAAACTAAAAGACAGATGCCTCATATTCAGAATTTCCTCTACATACTCAGACCCTTTTCAGTCTTGTGACATTACGGAAGATGCCAGGTGGTATCATGATTCCAAAGTGTTGATTCTAAACCATTTAATCAGAAAGTTGATGAGTTGGAGCTCAGTAACAGCAACCTATAAAACACAGGTGTTCCACCAGAAACAGTCTGGCCTTCCCGCAGCTGTTGTGTGTAAGGGTTTAATAGACATTAACCTTGGAATTGAAGACTGAGGGCAGTGAAGGCAGAGTTAGTCTTCAAATACGGGTTTGAAATCAAGAGTTTCTCATCAACGCATGGCCCCGATACAGTGTGACTCAGTCAGAGGCCCTGCCATGCTGTCTTCATGTGGAAAGTACAGCCTAAGCCTTCCCGGCAGCCAGCCTTATCAAAGCTGGCCCTCAGGTAGTGACCGTCTGTGGTACCGGTAGGTTAGCAGAACTCAGATTCACGTTCTCCCAAGGTAAAGCCCAAGCAAAAGGGATACTGCAAAACTACTCAACTCTCCTACTTTAGATTTTTTTTTTTGGACAGAGTTGGAGAAATTTCATTTTCTCTGCAAGAGCTTGTGTTTAAGTTGAAACGGAGCCTTCGTGTCTGTCTTGGAAAGATCATATATTCTTAAATCGGGTTCTATCCAATTCAAACTCAGCACTGGCGAGAAGCAGCAGAAAGCCTCCTGGGCTGCCCCGACCTTGCTACCTGTTCTGTGGGGGGAACTGTGAGCCAGCGGAGACCTGACTTTCTTCCACTGTTGTTCTTGGCTGAAGGGAAGGCAGGAAAGGTAGGAAAACACACCAGTAAGCTGCAGCATACTGAGGGACAGGGGATGTGCACAGGTATAGTGTTTAGACCCAGCGTGGCAGCGTTCCTTCCTTACCAGCAACTCGAGAACATGGCCCATTTGGTGTATTAATAAGGAGACAGTTGGTATCAACCTCACCAGGCAGAGTTTGTCTGGTGATCGCTAAAGAAAATGCCAGCAGACAGTATCATAATTCATCTTGATAGAATAAGTATTAAGCATATGAGAGGAAGGCATGAATGTTTGGACAGAGTTGTAAAGACCTGCCTCAGACTTGAACGCCACATACTGTGGTCCAGCTATGAGGTCTTGCTGCCCCTGAGGTCCCTTCATGCTTGGAGATGAGAGCACACTCTGGTGCCACCATGTCCATTCAGGGAGCACTAGTGAGGCGCCCCCTGATTTTGTATACAGTCTCTCCTATGCAGCCACTCTGCTGGACCCTGGGACGTGTATGTGTGTGTGTGTGTGTGCGCGCGCGCACGTGCGTGTGGAGCTGCTACACTCATTTCTCCTCTAATGTGACATTCTGAAAAGAAAAAAAAGTCCTTGTGTAATGAAATTCTATACTCAAAGAAATGACTGGCCGTGTGGAGAAATGGAGTTAAGGCAGAAAAGCAAAAACATGTAGTCTTGTAATACAATTAAAAAAAAAAAAAGCCATTATAATTTTAAACGTTACAAATCCCTAGTAAATAAAGGCAGACTATAGTGGGATGCTTACAGGATAAGCACCGAACTACTAACTGCAGGATTGATGGGTCAAACCCACCAGCCGGTCCTTGGAAACTCCATACAAGGTCAGCACTATGAGTCAGAACCGACTTGTCAGCCCTTTAGCACCACAGTAAACAGAGACCCTGACCTTAACGTGAGGTTTGCTTGCTGGAGGTCTTTATAGTCAAGGGATATGGCTTTGAGTTGCAGGGACAGGGGAAGATCCTGCTAAATGCAGTAGGACACCACATGGCTGGCTGTGACTTACTGCCCCTGCTGTCTTTCCTCTGAACCAGCCTACGCCAGAACTCTAGTTCTGTGACCTATGTGGCTGCACCTGAGATCTGATGACATAAGGCATGCTCGTGCTACACTAGGTCTGGCCTGTGATCTCTAAGTGGGGCAGGGGACGGGGGTAGGAGAGGCAGTGCCTTTCAGACCCCGCAAAGCAGATGATCCTGGGGTGGTGTCTCTTAGTGAGTATTGTTAAGTGCCATCGAGTTGGTTCTGACTCACGGTGACCCCGTATAGGGTTTCCAACTAGTGGCAAGGGAGAATGAACTGCTGACCTTGTGGTGCTAAACGAGCTTGCGTTCCAGTGCTTTCTCCCACATTGCCACACCAGGACTGCACTTTCAGGGAGTACAATAGCATTGTTCTGTTATTCCGGTGTTGTAGGGACCGAGGTATCAGACGACATATTGCATTAGGCAAATCTGCTGCACAGGAACTTTTTAAAGTGTTGAAGAGCAGAGATGTCAGCTTGAGGACTAAGGTGCGCCTAACCCAAGCCATGGTATTTTCAATAACCTCATATGGATGCGGAAGCTGAACAGTGAATAAGGAAGATCATAGAATTGATGCCTTTGAGTTGTGGTGTTGGAGGAGAATACTGAAAGTGCCATGGGCTGCCAAAAGAACCAATAGATCTGTTTTGGAAGAAGTGCAGCCAGAGTGCTCCTTAGAGGCCAAGATGGCTAAGCTTCGTCTCTCATACTTCGGACACATTGTCAGGAGGGAGCAGGCGTTGGAGAAGGATATCATGCTTGGTAAGATGGAGGGTTGGAGAAAAAGAGGAAGACCCCCAACGAGACGGATCGGCTAGGTGGCAGTATCGATGGACTCAAGTGTGGCAGCAGTAGTGAGGTTGGCCCAGGCTCGGACATTGTTTCGTTCTGCTGTGCATGGGGTCGCTATGAGTCGATTCCGACTCGATGGCACCTAACAACAACAAGAGACCGAGAGGCTATATAGGACACAAGGAAAGAAGTTTGGAAATGCCTTTGGGTAAACCTCCCCTACGATGCGGGACAGAAGCACTCAGGTGGGTGGGAGTTTAGACACAAGAGTTACTGAAGGAACATGGAGGTGGGGTGATTTCTCAGGGCCTGAGAAAATCTGCACCCACGGGCTCTTGTTGGTGACTAGTGGCTGCAGTGGTCTGTTGCCGTCATTAAAGCAGCACTGAACAATTAACCTAGTATGCAAATTTATTTTTATCATTGATAACAATCATATCCGATAGAAGAAATCTATAAAATAATTTATGTGATTGCACTTTCCTGTTAAGGGAGTATCTCTTCCTGACCTTCGCCCACAACTGCCATCACCTGTAGTAGGTGACTTGTCAGTATACGGCTGCTGTCCCATTCTAGGTCACAGGTTAGGAAAAGGCATCAGGAAGAGGTTCCAGCTCATTGTGCTTCTGTCCTCCTACAGCCGGTAGTCTTCAGGTCTGGAAAAGAAAACCAACAAACAGCTGTGTCTTCATCAATTGGTATGTCAATGCCTGAGGGTGACTGTTTTCAGCATTTAAAGGTAAAGTAACTGTTCCTGAGCACCATCTACAAACACTGCTCGCATATCAACATTTGGGTGGGAAGCAGGAACACCAAATCATCAGCAAGTGGGAGAGCTAAGTGACAGTCCCCAGGCCCTTGGAGAGTGTAAGCATCCTGTGCAGGGATTGATTTAGTGCCTTACAAAGCTGGAGTTAAGTTCTCGGTTATCTTCCTAAGCACTATTCATAAAACTCCTCACAGAAAGGATTAGGGTGTTCTTTACAAGAATTTAAAACTCATACAAAGATATGGATTTAGCTTATGAAGGCAAATCTTGACTGGGAAAATTTCCAATTTATACTATTTTATCATGTTAAGTTTCATTTTCACTGGATACATAAAAAAGTAACGGTACAAATGCTGGACTTTTTCTGTGTTTATTTTTCACACCCACGTAGCTGGTCTTTCTTCTCATTTAGATGTGTATAGGATTAGCCACACTTACAATTTACTCCCAGCCATCAATCAAAACAAACAGTTGCCAGGAAAATGCTACAGCAGAATAATCAAGTGAAGCAAAGGAGAACAGAAAGTACACACATTTTACAAGTTTCTTGTTATCTTTCAGGTAGCACATTTGTAGGTACTGGACTCATATGAAACTGTCTGAAGAAAGTTAGAAACAAATACACGTAAATAGGTATTTTTGAGCCAGCTGTAAAAATATTCAATAGTTTGAGTTCCTTTTAAAAGCAGATGAACAGTTGGAGACAACAAACCTAGACCCTTTGTACATTTACATTGTGTTTTCAACTGAATACTCACAAAATACCAGACAGCCTGGCTGTGAAAAAACTGGAGTTGAGAAAATGAACGACGTGATAGTTTAAAACTGTTTACTGTTTAATTCTGAGGAGCTTGGGCACAATAGGCCCCTCTTCTCAGCTTTCTATAACCACAAGATGAGAAAACGGCATACTTTTGTTACTGGGTGTTTGAAAACTCTTTCCAAATATGAAAACTGCATGCAAATTTGGAAATGACAGTTTGGGATGGTAGGTTGAAAGTGGCTCCAACGTGTACCCTTTTAACCTTTGCTGTGTGACTCAGTGTGACGCAAGCTGTTCCCAGTCAAGAGACACCAGTGCATTTGAAGAAACAATTTATCCTTTTGTCCAGCTGGTTCATATAACTACAGCAGGGCGGGCAGTGATGTGACCAGAAAGAAATGCACTCAGCCGATGTCCCACAAGAAGTCTCTGCAATGTTACTCACTAAAATTCAATGTGTTTAGCCAGGGACAAGCTGTCTTCACACCAGAGATTAATTCATTAAGTACAAACGACATGACAATTCCATCTCCCAGTGGCATTTAGCAGTACAACTGGCAAAGTGTCAGAAGGGTCCAATCTGTAAGTGAAGAGCTGTGGCTGCCAGCCTAAAGGTAACAGCGCTAACGAAGCCCAGACTGGTTTCAAAGTAACAGACTAATCAAAATTGGATGCTTCAGAAGCAACGCAGGTTGAGACATAACTACATTTCTGATATTAACTAAATTTTCATAGTTATTAAATATTCAGTTGTTGATAATTGCCATTGAATTGGTTCCACCTCATAAGAGACCCTATATAGGGTTTCCTCCGAGGCTACAAACAGCGACCCTGTATAGGGTTTCCAAGACTTTAAATCTTCGAGGGAACAGAAAGCCTCATCTCTGCATGCTCGAACTGTGGACCTTGTGGTTTGCAGTCCAGTGCTTATCGTATGGAACCACTGTGCTCCTAAATATTCAGTAGCAAGAATCTGTTTTTCACAACGACCTTCAAACAATATCGTTTTAAGCACTATTATCTTGAGTATGGAAGCATTTCTTTAAAAGAACTTAACTTTGGACTTCAGTTTTCTCTGTAAAATGGTGGGTAAATACATTTGGTTTGTGAATAAATGAAAGCTAAAAAAGCATAGGGTTTATACCACAGTTCAAATAGAGACATTTCTATTACTTGTCCCATTTGGATGATTTCTTTTCCAAGAAGAAAAGCAGTCAGTCATGAATCCATGAAGTTGTATATAATTGTTGTAAATTGTACTTAGACCTTAACTTTTTTCCACTACTAATATTTTTTAGTAAAATCTTATTCCAAAACAAGACATTTCAAAGTCTAAAATATAATTTGGATAGTAAGCTACTACTAAAAACTGAAAGACCAGTTTGGTTGACTTGTAGCAATTCTATCCAGTGTATGGATGGAATTATTTAGAATAAGCCATTTGAGACCTCTGCTGACATCTCATATTTCCCGAATTAAACACGTTAGTTGGACAGGTGAAGCCAAGTAAACAAGACTTAGCACTCTTGATACTTTGTCATCAGAAATAGTTCAACAGTCCATTTCTAAAAGCTACACTGGTAGGACTGTTTCATAAGTTTCAAATCCTTTTAATTAGAATGAACAGAAATTACGTTTGTATTCCATTATCAAATTTAAGCTCCAGTTTCTACTGTAAATAAGTCGGTCTTGGTTGTTTAAGTCGGGATTGCTTTTTATTTGAACAAGTCGTGCTGATCTGTTCATCTCCAAAAGAACAGTGCTGTTTAGAATGACTAATTTGAGGAAACTCAGCCCTTGGAAAGGTTGAGGTCTGTGGTTTAAGCCAACACTGAGCTGGTTTAAGTGGGTTGGAAAGTAACCTTGCTCCCCGAGTCCAGCTAATAACTCAGATTGAAGAGCAGCAAATTAAGTTAAATCTACTAGGAAAATGTCACATGGCTAGATGGGAAAAAATTATGGAAACATTTGAAGCTGTCTAGATCTCAGCTCCTTATGGAATGTAAAAAGTTAAAAAAATTAAAAAAAAAAAACAAAACCTTCTCAACTATGTTTGTTTAAATCCGCATGCATTTAAAAGGCACAGAATATTTTTTTTCTCTCTGAGGCAGAAATCTACTAAAACAGAAAATGTGTAGATTTTTAGGGTTGGCAACTTTGCTATCAGAGGGCATGACTTATGCTAACTCCAAACTCTGCTCTCTCCTAGAGCTCTGGAACAAAGACAGTGCCCACCAAGTCCTCTTCCAGTTCTAATAGTTCCAGCTTTTGGAATACGATTTCCCTTTTACAAGCTAGTTGGATCCCCTATTAAGCTCCTTAAATTTATTCCCCCTTTCAAGAAAGACAATTCCAGGGACAATCCTGGTCATCTTTGTACCTTCCCACATCTTTACCCTGAACTCTTCTCTGAAGACATACATACTTCTAATTGCAGCGCACTCTGTAGTGAGTACTGCATCAGGAATGCAGGTTTTCCATGCAAACATCTGTTTTCAAGCATTCATTGATGCTGAAACTTTTAACACTTAGTTTCTCTACAAAGATGAGAGTGTTGCTAAAAATAACTACTAACAAGTGAGAACACACACACACACACACACACACACATATATTTTGGGGGTTGTTTGTTTCACTAGTGTTACAACACTCTACAAGATAATGCAAAGCAAAGTGATTCAAGTTGAAATTTTCCAGTCATCTGGGTTTTCCTAAGAAAAACTCTCACAGAATTCTGTAAAAACGAAAAAGTTTAACAGGATCTAGTTTTACATTTAGCCTATTGTAAAGAAAAAATTCCTAATACACTGAGCATTTTTGTATTTGTCACAATTATTTTGTGGTTTTGTAATGTGTTGGCAAGACTATAATAATTACGGGAATAATCACTGATTGTGTTACAGTAAATTGATCAATCACAGGTAGTTTTAAAAAAAAAAGTTATAATCCCAGTTAGTTAAATTGTGATAAGTGAATACAACTGTTGTTTTTCTCTTTTCTTTAAAGAAAAAAAGGGATGAATTCTACGTGTAATCTTCACAATGACTATTTCTACAAGGCAAACACACATCTACTAAAAGAAACCTCCTAACATAATTCTGCACAGTTGATGTGTCTATGAGATATACAAATATGAGCACACGATGTCTACCCATGATGTAAGAAGTGAGGTATGGAAGTCAGTCCGACTCATAGGGGAAGTGGCTTCTAGAAAATGAGCTTTATCTCTGTGCAAGGTCTTTTATATCATTGTTTAAAAAATACGTATTGAAATTTTTTTCAAGTAAACAACTAGCAAAGGGAAGTTTACTGCATTCTGAAATTAGGTCTAAGAGAAAAATATAATAGCCTTTGTTAAGATCATTTAAAATAATGTAAGTGAAATTACAACAATGATAGCATTTTAGTATTAAACCAATTTTGTTTAAGGTTTAGTTTGCAAATTGTTCTATTGTTCAAAGGCCTTTGGCTTCTTAGAGAAAGCTAATGAACTTACACTTAGCTGAAACATAATTATAGTTTTAATTACTAAATGTGCATCTTAATGTAGACACATACTGAAGTTTTACTGCTAGGGAAACCCAAACCAAGGCGAGTTGTTTCTGTGTCTGATTGTGGAGCAATCCAGGTCCATCTGTTTCAGTCAAGTCTCTACAGATTCCTCATCAGGTTTATCTTTAATAAATTCCAGTGAGTACATTCCAAAGGATGATTATATTCTTGGCTTAGCCATTCTGGCTAGAACAAAAGCATATTTTAAGCAGGTTCTTCCTCCAAAAGGAGATTTCAATCATAAAAGGCAAAGCTACCAGGATTGAGAAATTCCACTGGCATGTCACAAAGCTTAATTGCAATTGTAATGTATATAATATTTACGATTAGAAGTTTCTGGAATGTCAAACAATGAAAATGGCATGGTCCAGTAAGCTATACCTAACAATGATGCTACTCAACTGTGAATTAGTTCAAATTCAAATGTCAGTTCCTTAGTCATATTAGCTAGAGTGCAAACGCTCACTAGTCACATGTGGCCAGTGGCTATTCTAAAAAGATATAGAACTAAAAAATCATCTATTTCTTAGATAAAAAGTTTCTGGTTGATTCAAAATCCACTTTCCTAGTTCCATGCATTCCCCAGCAATAATGACTACCTGGATTTGACATCTGCTCTAGTGTGCAAGGAGACTGAAATGTCAGGTTAGGGTGTACTGAATGGTTTGTCTCTTCTACACTGAGTCTTTGCAATCCCCACCATATGACTCTTTCTGCTAGGTCTGCATGAGAGAAGGAGGGAGGAAGTTACTGAGAGGGTAACTTGACTCAGCTGTGGCTACTAACAGAGTTAATTGTAATTATAAAACTTGTAACTCTAGCATGGTATAAAATAAATCTTCTCAGAGCCGGAACTTGGGTGTGGGGGTGAGTGTGGGTGAGTCAGTGTGTGTTGCATGTGGTGCAGGGTATGTATGTGTGCGTGTGTGTGTGTGTCTTACCACCATCAAAGAAGAGCAGCCAGGAGGGGAGCGCATCCTTTGGACGCAGAGATCCCTGTGCAATGAACCTCTTGGATCCAGAGACAGGAAACTGTGATACAGGAGGGGTGGCAGAGGAGTAGCAGCAGGGGAAATAGAGCCACAGCACCCGACAGAGGGATGGGCTCCCAGCCCACAGAGTAAGTAAAGTTGAGTGACTTTGGGCAGGTGGCTTGCTTGCAGAGTGGGGCTTCTCCAGGCACTTAACTGGGGGAGCTAGGTTTTCTGAGCCACAGAGCTAAGCAGAGCACCCTCCGGCTGGTTCTGACCCACAGTGACCCTGCAGAGGGTTTCCCAGACTATAAATACTTGTGGGAGCAGAATGCCTCATCTTTCTCCTGTGGAGCACCTGGGGCTTGAACTGTCAAACTTGTGGTGTGCAGTCTAGTGCTGATCTTACCACACCTCTCTGGCAAAGCAGAGAGAGGTTCATCTAAAAAGAGGAGGACGCTCAGTGAGGTGGACGGACACAGTGGCTGTCACCCTGGGCTCACCAAGCAGCTTGTTTGTGAGGATGCTGCTGTACACAGGGCCACTGTAACTGGAACCAGCTTGATGACGGCACCTAACAACAGCAACAACACATGCACTGGGGCTGCACTCACACCAATGGGTAGCCCTGGCTCTCGAGGAGCTTGATGTGGTGACAACAGAGCTGGGCAGCAGCTGCTATGTCAGCTTACGGTGGACACTTCATCTACATATGACGTTTAGTGAGACTTCTCAAAGGAGCTGACATCGGAACTACAGGCTAAAGAATGAATGGAGGTGGGTCACCCGAGGGGAGAGAGTGAGGTGAGCTAAGTATGGAAAGCACTCTATAGAATGGGATTCTGGAACACTTCATTGTGGTCATGAAGAACCTGGACAGAGAGTAAGAGGCAGTTTTTTGAACAGAACATGGGGATTCTGAATGGTTTAAAATCAGGAAAGGTGTTTGTCAGGGTTGTATCCTTTTACCTTATATATTCAATGTGTAAACTGAGCAAATAATTTGAAAAGTTGGATTATATGAAGAACACACATCAGGATTGGAGGCAACCTATGATATGCAGAGGGCATACCTTGCTTGATGGAAGTGAAGAAGACCTGAAATGCTTACTAATGAAGATGAAAGATTACAGCTTTCAGTATGGTAGCACCTCAATGTAAAGAAAATGACAATCCTCAGAATTGGACCAATAAACATGATAAACAGAGAAGAGACTGAAGTTGTCAGAGACTTAATTTTCCTTGGATCCACAATCAATGCTCATGGAAGCAACAGTCAAGAAATCAAATTTGCATTAGGCAAATATGCTGCAAAAGAACTCTTTAGCGCATTTAACAGCAAAGATGTCAATTTGAGAATTAAGGTGCACCTGATGCAAACCATGGTATTTTCAATAGCTTCATGTGCATGTGAAAGTTGCACAATGACTAAGGAAGACTAGAATTGGTGCATTTGAAATATGGTGTTGGAGAAGAACACTGAAAGTATCATAGACTGACAGAAGAATGAACAAATCTGGTTTGGAAGAAGTACAGTCAGAATGCTCCTCATGAACCAGGATGGTGAGATTCCACCTCTGGAACCTTGGTAACGTTGTCAGGAGAGACAAGTTCCTGAAGAAGGACATCGTGATCAGTGAAATGGTGGTGGTGAGGTGGGGGGGCGGGTGATCAACAAAGAGGAAGACCTCCAATAAGCTGGACTGACACAGGGACTCTAATGATGGACTCAGCACAGCATTCATTGTGAGGGTGGGGCAGGGCTGGACAGTGTTTTGTTCTGTTGTGTATAGAGTTTGCTAGGAGTTGAAACCAATTTGAAGGCACCTAATAACTGGGGAGTCCTGGTGTGGCGCTGTGGGTTAATGCACCAGACTGCAAAGCCGTTTGAACTGCAAGGTCAGTGGTTCAAGCTCACCAGCTGCTCCTCAGAAACCCTATGCAGGGTCACTATGGGTTGGAACCAACTTGACGGCACTTCACAACAACCACAACAACAACAATGGCAGATCAGAAGCCCTGGTGCTGCAATGGCCACCTGCTAGGCTGCTGACTGAGAGGTGGACCATCAGCTGTTCTGTGGGAGAAAAGACCTGCAACTTCAGAGACACCATGGGGCAGTTCTACTCTGTCCCACAGGGTCGCCTGAGGCTACACATCAACAACAGCTGAACAACGGCAAGGAAGAGGTAAACTGCATTCAAGAGGTGCCAGTCTTTCCCAGTCTGCCATTGCCAGACCAGAGCAGGGGACGGAGATACAATCAGGCTGAAGCAACAGGGAGGAAATAGTGATGGAGAGCTTTACAAAGAGGCCATGCAAAGATGCCTCGGAACAGTTAGATGTGTGGGAGCATGGGGAATCCAGTCACCTTTATGGACGGACGTACACTGTGCAGAGGAGAGTCAAAAAGTGCGGTTTTGCCTTAGTATTTGGATCAAGACTCCAAGTATGGAGAGTCTATGTCTTCTCAGTAGATGACGTTCTCTTCTTGGAGATGCAAGCACTCTGTTTGAGGTTGATGACATTTATCCAACAGACTCTATTCAATCCAAGTAAAGTTATCTACATATCTACAGCCCACAATTACAGGCAGCTACAAACTGCCTTGGACTCACTTAGCAAGGTCTTAATGTAAAGATTTTTTATTCTATAATCTACTTTGCATGTAGGAGCTGAAGAGTTTCACTGGGAATGAATTAAAAAAAAAACGGATTTCATTTTTTCCACCATCATGGACCATATAACATGAAAGAGAATACCAAATTCAGTATAAAAACAACAAAGGTGGTAGGAATGAGAGAATTGAAAACTTACGGAGACCACACTCTTGGGAAGGCGTCTATCTCTTCCTGAGTGTATTCATCTAGACGTCTGGGCACTTTTCGTGGTTGAGGAAGCTCTTCCACTACGTTTTTAAGAATATCTTCAGGAATATCCTATAGTAATAGAAACAAACAACCCACAACTTGCTTTTAACTTCCTTGTATATCTTCTTTAGTGTGTCAGTCTAAAGAGCCCCCGCCTTGGCTCACTCCCGTGCTGTCACCTGATTCAGTGCAGGATCCCTCCGGTGCCACTACCTTCTGTCTCTCTGTGGTAGCAGCCGTGAAAACCTGCCAGACTCTGTCATTTACTCAGAGACACTATGGAGCTTCTTCCATGAACGGCCAACTATGCTAGGTGCTAAGAAGAAAACACTAAATAAAAAGACCATCGTCTCTAAAGGCGGGCCATTTCAGAATACTCAAAAGTCTCTCAGGATAAGTTCTAACTCCCTCCATTCCTACTTCAATTCTCCACATCCTCCGTGGCTTCTGACTGATCAGCCGCCCCCACCCCCATTTTTCTATAAGTTATATTGTGAATTTTGTGATAGTTAACATAGGAGAACATTAGTTTTACATTCGTCTTATTGGATATCATTTCATTGCCATGGTTACAATCCTCTCGATGCATCATCAACCAACCAAAGGGTATACGCTGCAAGCCTGCCCCCCGGTTGTCAGCACACAGCCCCTCTCCCTCTCTGGGTCTACAGTACCCAGCCAATCTATCTCTCCACATCATCCTCTCTGTCTCCAATTCTGGTGTCACTGCTTCTCTGGGTAGGGTCCCGCTCTCTGCTCTTCTCCCTTGATGGTCCCAGGGACCTCCGCTCCTAGACTGCAAAGTTAATCCCCTCCTTGCTATAAAACGTCTACCTTTACATTTCCAACCCTCACAATCAGTCCTGACAACAACTATTCACTATTGTATCACAAGACAGCTATCCGCATTTCCTTTCATCAGCCCCGCCTAGACAGATTGGATACTACTCAGTGGAGATTCTACCTTCCTTCATTCCCTCTGGATCTAGATTCCCTCTTGAAAGCTTATAAGCCAGTCACTTCTTGCCTCTGAAGCCCATCCACCCCAATTTTGGGTAGCAATGTCCAAGTTGCCCATCTCTGTGTACTCTGTATATGGAGGGGGTGGGAATGATCCTTGCTGTAAAGATTTATTTCCTCTTTTGAGCTACTGCATCCATAGGTATAGGTCAAGTCATCAAACT